CTTCATATGTTTTGGCTAGAGATCACATTTCTGCTATTTTTTTTAGTTCAGTCCCTTCTGATTGATGTGTTATAATGTCTAGTCTTTAGTTGGTGCCCTCTCCATTGTCAGGAAATATTTAAAATATATTTTTTGCCAGTTTTAGAAATTTTCAGTGAGTGGGAATGGACACATCCATATTTAGCCTATAATCTTAACCTATTCTCATAGATTTCCTAATATAATTCTGATCATCATAACTATTACTGTATAACTTTAAAAAAGTCCATTTATCTTTTCCAAATAGCCTATTTGTTTTTCAAAATGATAAATACAGCAACTGAATTTTCAATATTTTATAAAATTTTTTAGGTCAAGGCTCACTCTTTATTTTCTTCATTCAACAATGTTATTCTAGAAGAAAGCAAAAAAAATTCAGATATATCATTATTGTCCCAGGATTTGAAATTTGATGATGAAGTTATGAAAATGGAGCCTAGGATCAAGCCTCGACCAAAACTTATTTCTTTGGATGATAAAACAATTCTTTCCCTTGCCAAGACTACCATTTACAGTCATATTGTGGTGAGTATTGTGAGTTATACAACTTTGGGGCAGGAATCTTGGAATCCAAATCTAGCATATGAGGTCTGATTATATTCAATTATTGTATGATGATGCCAGGCATCATGCCACTGGACTTAAAAGTATCCCTAACTCTCTTTCTACATGGACTAGATCAGTGCTCTTCAATAATAATAGAAAGTGAATCACATATGTAATTTTAAGTTTTCTAGTGGCTATGTTTAAAAAAGTAAAAAAGATGAAATTAATTTTAAAAATACTTTTTATTTAACCCCATTGTCTTACACTGTTTCCTATTGCTGTAACAGAGTACCACAGATTAGGGAATTTATAAAGGAAAGAAGTTTATTTATATTTAGCTTACCGTAGTAGAAGCTGAGAAGTATAAGAGCATGTTGCCAGCATATGGTAAGGGGCTTCTTGCTGTGCCATAAAAAGTCAGAGGGCATCACGTGGCAAGAGGGCAAGAGCAAGATAGCTAGAAAGAGGTCAGTTTTATAACAAATAACATTCCCAAGATAATAGATCCAGCCTTGTGATACTGACTTTAATCCATTCATGAGAAGCAGTGTAAGATATCTATTGAATCTTATCATGGATGATACTCATAGGTGACTTGTAAAGGCACATAAATTAGTCTTTCTTAACAGTTTTGGCTCTTTTTGACAGCTACTAAAAATATTTTCTCCCTTTTAGGAAGTTAATTATGTCCATAGTATGAGGTATAAAGTGGTGGTGGTAAGAGAAGAGGGCTAGGAAATAAACGCTTAATTTTATCACGATAATACCAATTTGTTGTGAATACTGTATAGTCACTTGTTTTCTTGTGCCACTGTTTATTTTGTAAGTTATACATAAGTATGGTCTTCATTTGATACCATCCACAACAGTGTAAAAACAAAAACATCTGTAGACACTAGGATCACCCCTAAATTTCAGTACTATTTGTAACAATATTTCTTTGTATATAGCCGACAGGGAAAGTCTGAGCCAAATTTTGATCTAGACATTAACTTAGACACTCATTCTCCCACCTCCTTCTTCAACTTTCTGTCCTTTTACTTCAATATTGTCACCCCTTCTTCTTGGTCCAGTGCTCTCATGCGGTTTCCGGCAGTCATGGTGTATCGTTGTCATCTGTCTCCTGTGAGGTATCGTGTCTGATATCCTTAATCTTTAGGGCTTCTATTATTCATGGATTAGGCTAAGAGACAGATTTGCCCTAATAAAGTTAGACCCAGTGAGAAATCATATTAATAACCAGGTCTAGTGTTACTATTATAAACTGTTTTTTACCTCTTAACCTCATAAGTTTTTTCTTATTAGTACTCTCTTAATGTTATTTAAAACAACTGCTTTCTTATTTTGTATTATATTAGCTTAAGTAATTGTTCTAAACATTTTAGATATCTATACTTCAGTATGATGTAGAATGTAATCTCTCCTATTAATTTATATTTTATTTTGCTTCAGAGTCTGAATCTACATGGGAACAGCTTGAGTAAATTGAGAGATCTCTCCAAGTTAACAGGACTTCGAAAACTGAATATTAGCTTTAATGAATTTACTTGTTTAGATGATGTATACTACTTGGTAAGAACTGTCTTTTTGAAATCTAAAAAAGTTTAACTCCTAGAAATAGGAGAATGGTGGTGTCAGGGCCTAGCAGGAAAGGGAAATGGAGAGATGGTGCTCAAAAGGTACAAACTTTCAGTTATACCATGATTCGATGGTGGTAATCATTATACAATCTATACGTACCTCACACCATCATGTTGTACACATTGAATGTATTCAACCTACATCTGCCAATTTAATATTTAAAGAAAACGTTGGTGTAGCAAAAAATATTATAAAGACAAATGATAAATTAGAATAAATATTTGCAAAAAGAACTATCCTTTTGAAAATACTTAAGTAAAATAAATTAATGGACCAGTTATTTTTGTAATTATGACTTAATATATACTGATGACTATACATGAGAACTATATATCTCAAATCAAAACTAAAGCACACATACACCAAATCATGTTAGTTTCTGTAAAACAAGTCTTAGATTTAGCTTTTGTTTGCAGATCATATATATACCTCTGGTCACATCTCATTTCTAGCTACTTTAAACTAAATGTATTACAATAATTTCTTAGACTTGTTTTTAAAATGTCCTTCAGTGTCATTTCCATTTTCTTCTGCTCTTGTTTTCCCACTTTTCTTTTTATCTTTCTTGTAAGTCCCTATTTCTTTATTGTCTGGTTTGCCACTTCACATCTAATGTTGCCAGTTCTTCCTGTCTGCTCATTATCCAGGTGGTTATTCTCTTTCTCTCTGCCTTGTCCTTTCTACATGAACGTCACATGTATAGACATTGTTTGACTTGTGTTTGCTCATGATGTACCACAGGACAATACAGCAATGCAGATGTGCCATAGCCAAGGATCTTGTCTGATTTTTGTTTTTCTTGTTAGACATAAATCTTATAACAAAAAAAAAAAAACAACATGTAGTTCCAAAACTTCAACCCAGAATCCCCTTGTTTACATGGATCCCAGGTTGGTCACATGCCTTTCAGAATCTATCACTGTTGTCAGCTCTTGCCCATTCTCTGCTCTCCCTCCCTACAGCCATATCAAAGCCTTTGCATTGCTGCTTCCACCGTGGTGGTAGGAGGAGTTTCTTTTACTTGAGTTTTAGTATGAAATCCTCTTCCTTGTTTCCTTGGTGGGCCTGAGCCCTTTAAACCAATGGAATCTCTGATATTGTTTTCAGTTTGCAGCTGAGGGGAAAAAAGAGTAGTTTAAATAGGGTACCAGGACTGTGTGTTGTAGCAGACTATATAGCTTATGGCAAGGAGAAGCAAGAGTTATGCTCAGAACACTCTGTAAATATAGGAACCACCTGTAACATCTTGGTACTATGACACCTTGGTGATAAGGGCATGGGGGAGGGATTCGACTCTCCTAACGTGAGAGCTTGCCAGACAAGAACAACAGTGATTGGCAGTCCGGAATCTCGTCTATAAGGAGCTGCAGGAGAAGGCAGTCAGGGAGCGTGCATTCTTTCACAGACCTGCGCACTCTGACTCTTTCCCTTCTGCCTGCAAAACGCCTGTATGACGTCTCTCTACAAAAGACAGCTACGGTTCATTCTCTTACTAAGACTGCTTCTCTCAAATACTGTCTCTCTCTCCCTTCTGCTAAAGCGGATAGCCCATAGCCACCTAAGGGTAATTGATCCCAAGCTAGATAGCACAGCTTCCGTGTCTGAACACTAGATAAGCTGGGGCTGGAGACCCGGCAGTCCCAGGCCCCAACAGTGTGTAGATTATTGGCATTTTTATTTAATTTTTTCCTATGTTTTGGTAGCAGTTCCAAAGGTTATGACAGCCATTATAATTTTGCTGAAGTACAATTTGAAGAGTAAACTCTTAAATCTTAGATAGTGATGAGTTTAGCCAGCTACCCAGCATTTGTTTTGTGATATGGTTTTCTGTTCTCCTTTAATATAAAAATTACGTTCATAATCATAGCCTCATAGCATACTTGTTGGATGAATATTACCATGATCATTTTACAGATAAGGGAGCTGGGTAAATGTTATATGCAAGTGGTGTTTCAAATTTTAGGATTAGCAAATGTGATTAGATATAAACCTCTCAAATGTCAGGTATGTGATGTATACCTGACATTTGTATACCTCATGTCTCTAAAAATGACTAGAAGGTGGCCAAGGAGAGGAAGTAGTCTCCATTGATATATATAATGTATTTTTTCATCTTATTATAAGACAAAATGCAGATGCATAAACCATGTACTAGTCATATGGCTTAGCATGTTGTAAGGTGAACATGTTTGTAACCACCACCTGATCAAGAAATAGAACTTTGCCACCCAGAACAAAAGCCCCTTCTATGTGCCCCATTCCTCCTCCTCCCCACAAGAAATCATTGTTCTGACCTCCGTATCCCTCTCTCTGCATAGTTTCTTTTTTCTTTTGAAATTTCTAATTTTTATTTTTTAATTTTATTTTATTAAATCATCACTGTGTACATTAATGCAATCATGGAGTACCATGTGCTGGTTTTATATACAATTTGAAATATTTTCATCAAACTGGTTAACATAGTCTTTACAGCATTGTCTTAGTTGTTGTGTTTAGACATTTATATTCTACATTTAGTAAGTTTCACTTGTACCCTTGTAAAATGCACCATAGGTGTGGTCCCACCAATTACCTTTCCTCCACCCATCCTCTCCCCTCCTCTCCTCTCCCTTTCCCTTTCCCCCATATTCTTGGGCTATAATGGGTTATAGCTTTCATATGAAAGCTATAAATTAGTTTCATAGTAGGACTGAGTACATTGGATACTTTTTCTTCCATTCTTGAGATACTTTGCTAAGAAGAATATGTTCCAGCTTCATCCATGTAAACATGAAGGAGGTAAAGTCTCC